GTTATTTTGTAAATGACATTGGTATTGGGTGATTCTAAATAATTTTTGTTTAGTACTGATTGTAATTTAGGGCCGGGTTTTTGAGAGAATTTAATGTTGACAGGAAATTTTGTGTTTAATGGCTAGTTTTGTCCAAGTGTGCATAATTCTTGAGCTGGTTTGAGGGACAAAAGGTAAACTGCAGCGTAATGTTCTGTTCTTGGGTTTGTTAGTATCACGTTTGTTCTTGAGTTGAGTTTTGTTATGGTAAATGTTGGAGAGTTTTTCAACAATAGCTGGTGGAAATTTATTGGTGTGAATGAAGGAATGCTTTATGTGGTTGATTTCTTCATCTATGTAGTCCATTGAACAGAGTCTTGTTTATAAGGTTTTTCAGTGTATTGATTTTTTGTGTGGTGTCATGAGCGGAATTCCAGAGGATGTAGAGGCCGGTGTGTGTGTGTGTGTTCTTATAGTGAATTTTGGTGTGTGTCTGATCTAATAATGTTGAGGTTAAGAAAAGATAACCGTTTGTTGTTTTCGTGTTCTATAGTAAATTTGATGTTGGGATGAATGGAGTTTATGTTTTCAAAGAAAGTTAATGTATGTTCTGTAGAAGTGAAACCAGCAAAAGTGTCATGGACATATCTATACCAGCATAGTGTGGGATGAAGTGCAGAATGTATGGCTTGTTTTTCAATCTGGGTCATGAATATATTGGCAAGAACGGATGAAACAGGATTGCCCATACTTAAATCATCTATTTGAAGGAAATGTTCGTTGTTGAAAATGAAGTAGGTTTTAGTTGTTGTAAATTCTAAAAGAGAAGCAAAAAGTGTGCTGGGGATGTGGATTAACTTGTTGGGGTCATTGGTTGGGTCAATGAAACTCAAAAAACCATTGTATATCTATTAAAAACATAGTAATTTTAAACAAAGAACCAAACATAAACAAATGAAAAATCAAGAAATCCACCTTCTTTGAACAAAACAACCCCACTCTAAACCAACATCCTGAGGTGCCTATATATCTCTTCTAAGTCGTG